AAAAAAAAAAAAAATAAATAAATAAAAAATAAAGGAAAAACTACACAAAACAACATCTTTTCAATAGCCAGTTTCAGGAAACCACCGCGTCGGACCACTAGTACGCTGCACTCCAGTCGCTGGAAGATGGCTCGGCATAGGCACGGAAACTATCAGAAGTCTCCACCAAGAAATTCTCGGACGAAATGGGTAGTCGCAATGCTGATCGGGACTGGCTAGCCAAGCTGAGCCGAACCAAGCAACAAAGCATCGCTGCGGCCTGGTCCAGGGTTCGATCCTCCTTTAACACACCGAGTCTAACTTCGTTTTCCTCTTGTTAGAGACGCCCCAATAGCTGTTGCGAAGTGTTCCGACACACACTTAGGAAGAAAGCATCTTGGGCAAGCTTCCGATTCTGAATTGGAATACAAGTGTTCGAACGAATCGGTTACCCATGCAAGCAAGCAAGACGTGCAGACGAAATCCCAAGACTGCCGGCTAGTCATTTGAAGTCTGTCACGGAAAAAGGGAAAACAAATGATGCCTGCGTGGATTGCCATTTAGTGAAAGACCACGCGCCAGGAAGGAAGACAGCAGAGCCACCGTGAGAACGACCACCGGGAGAGGGGATTCAGAAGAGGAAGGACTCATGCATCCGGTGAGTTCGAGTGTATTTCAAGTCAACATCCCAAACTGGATCCACAGCGCTTCCCCGCCTTGTTTGGTGGGTTTCGAGCTTTTCACAGCACCACGGCCACAGGATTCAGAGAGTACCGCGGGCTTCACACATCTCAATGCCAAAACTCAAGCCCATGTACTGTAATCTACAAACAATCTTGCTTTTGCAGGTCGCTGCCGCTCCGGGACTGTCTAAACAACGGGACATGAGCGCAAGGAGCGCGGAATGTTTAACGGGCGCCTTGCGGACACACCAACCAGTTCTTTTTACACTGAACATCACTGAACTGAATGCAAGAACCCTACAAAGTGCACTGCATGGCTTGGGGAATTTCAGAGGAGCAGTTGTCGGTCGTTGCAATCAGTGTGCTGGTTTGTTGCGGCTCACAACTTGACCGTCGGCTCCAGCTTCAGTCACAGATCACCAATAAGATGACAGACTTGGGCACCCTCTGATAGCATTTCCTGACATCTGCAGAATCCAGTCAGCCACTCTCGGATTGAGGGTGTAAAGAGCTATGGATGGAAGAACCGCTGGGTGCTCGGCTTTGTCAAAGCTTTGGATGGCATTCCGCCTTTTTCGTAAATCGAGGATGTGGTGCTCAACGCCAGGAAACCGGTTGTTCTGCGCCATCTGTTATGCTTGAAAAGACCGACTAGTGGATGAGGACAACAAACGAAAATTGTTTTCATACCCCGTCGCAAGTGGCCCAGTGGCTTTTGGATTCAACTTTCACCGCAACGTCGCTGCGACGTGCTCGTGAGATTCCTTGGTGAGGTTGCAGGGCAGGTCAGCAATCTTCGCACGGCTCTCGGAGTCGACAGTCGATGTCGAAGTTACACAAGCTGGTCGCTACTAAGGTCCGACTATGAGTATTCTGATTCCGACTACTCGGACTTGTAGTACATTAGTCGCTCGAGGCAACTATGCGATAATTTGTCGGAGGGTCGATTCTTGACATGCAGGACAGCTCCAGCTCCGCATCTGATGCCCGTTGCTGCCTTCCAGTTCTGGAGCCCGTGCACGGTTTCTCCAAGCTAACCTCCAGACTGACCGAGGTTTGCGATCACAAGATGCCCTGAACTCCATCTGGGATGCAGACTCGAAGGCACGTGTTGTCTGCTTGCTGAATCTTGCAGCGCACGTTGCAAAGCCGGTCTCCTCTTCAGTTGTGTTCAGGAAGCGCCTCCACCCGGCATTTGGGATGGTGCCAGCGATGCAAAATGGAAGCATTCGCACATGGTGTGCACATCACAGAAGCTTGGACCAGGCGACCACGAAAGTGACACTGCGAGAAAGTGTGACCATCGTTGCCCAGTGCCTCTGGCATGTGGCAACATGTGTGCGCCCCCTGTCGAAGAAGTGGCGAGTTTGGCCCAGGTGGTCGATGCTGGTAGTGCTCGGCGACCCTACGCTGGAAGTCTGAGCCTGACACTCAAGAACAGATGTCGAAGTGGCAAGAAGTGCTCTGCCAAGTGTTCTTTGGAATGTTAGTTGGCCAACATACCTGGGCCTATGGCTGTGTATTGTGATTTTATATTTGTGTCTATATACATACATACATACATACATACATACATACATACATATATATATATATACATACACACACATACATATACATCTACATTGACCCGGGAAGCTGGGTCCCGGTTTCGTCCCCCTTCCTGACGACGAAGTTCCGCCCTGAAGACAAAATTCGGTCTGGGGCACACTGAGGACGAAATTCAAGCGAAATTCGGCCCCAAGAAGAAAGTCCTCAGCACTCAAGACCCATGGCAGACGTTGCTGGGCTCCTGAAATCTCCTGAATGTTATTCGAAATTCGACCGCGAAGACGAAATTCGGCCGCAAAGGCAACATTCGGCCCTGAAGACGACATTCGGCCGCGAAGACCCGCCCCCATAGTTCCAAGATGTTCCAAGCTCATATCATATGCGGTTTGGCTTCAAAACCAGGTTCAGGTTTTTATAATCTTAGGAGTTCTGATTCAAGTTTTGATTTCAGACGTAGTGGCGCCCTGTCAGTCCAAGCTTCCACCCTCGGAGCTCAAGGTTCACGAGAAGTCAAACCTTTAAATCAGCGGCGCTTCCGCCGTCTCCACCCTCCGAGTTCAAGAATGGCAAGAGCTCTGCTTCTCAAATCATGGGCGCCTCAGCCGTCTCCATCCATCATTTCAGAAACTCGTTTCTCGCAGTTCACGGTCTAGACGAGTACGGACGCTCAAACCGTGGGCGGCCCGCTGAATCTGGTAGTCTCCCTCAGTCAAGATGACGATTATGGTGCAAATTGCGGTGTAAGGATGTTTGCAATTTTGTTGCATGACGACGATGATGATGACGATGACTAGAGATGATGATGATGATGATCACGAGGATGATGATGATGATGGGCGGGTTTACCTGTCGGATGATTGAACATGATGATGGCATTGGGGGCCATATGGTGAGAAAGCAGGAGCGCTGGATGTCTACAAACTATTTTCGAGCTCCAAGCCCCTTTTCAGAACAACGTGTCTAAAACTACGGCAGGCGCAATATTCCCTTGCTCTTATGGCTCCAAACACATTTTTTGTGCACATTCTCAGATATTCCCCAAAGCTGACTCCCTCGTGAAATACAGCATGCCGGCAAAACGACGAAGCCAGGGAAACTACTGATCGGCAGGGTACCAGCAGCAGTAGGACGGCAGAAGAGTAAGAAAGCCGGAGAGGTGGAGAGTTGCAGAGTAGGAGGAGTAGCAGGAGTAGGAGGAACCGAGGAGGGGGCAGATTTAGGAGCAGGGGTGGTGGTAGCAGGGGGCAACATTGGGAACAGGAGCAAATGATCCTTCCCTGCGTGAAATAGATGGAATGCATAACTTGCCATTTCGTCAGGTGATGATGCTGGTACCTTCAAAAACAAATGGCGGAGATTGCCAGCAGCGACCTCTGCCCTGTTATCAGAGGACATCGCGATTGGTGCCAATGTTGGGGCATGCTCACCCGAGGATGGCCCGCTGGAATCCTTTATGGAGCCGGACCTGCGTGTTGTGTTAATAAATAAGGCTCCGTGTCGACTTCAATCAATGAAAGCTGTCAGTGAGGAAGCAGCTGTTTCACGCGGTTGCTGGCGTGGTCGTGGCCTCCGCTTGCTGAGTGCAGCACCCTCCTTTGTGGTAATGCTTTGGAGCCTGAAACTTCCTCCACGCAAGAAAACGGGCTGGACTTGTCGTTTTGCAGTACGGTGTTAAACCTGGAGCAGACACAGAAGCGGTCGCCATGTGACTGACCGGTCAGAAAGCTGGCTCGCAGTACTGGTGTGATAAGAACGCTGTGTGTGAGTGTTTGTCTGTTTGTCTGTCTCTCTCTCTGTCTCTCCGTCTCCTTCTCTGTCTCTCTCTGTCTCCGCGTCTCTGTGTCTCTCTCTGTCTTTCTCTGTCTCGCTCTCTGCCTCTCTCTCTGTCTCCCTTTCATTCCCTTTCTGTCTCTCTATCTCTCTCTGTCTCTCTCTCTCTCTCTCTCTCTCGCTCTCTCTCTCTCTCTGTCTCTCTGTCTTTCTCTGTCTCGCTCTCTGTCTCTCTCTCTCTCTCTCGCAAACTGCAGCTGATGCGGCTCTCTGCAGCACACAAGCTATCTTCAGTCTGGAGTGTTCGGGCTGCGTGGCCAAAGTGACACCTGTCAAGCGGATTCTTCGGAAGCTGCTGCCATCCAGGAGCCCAAAAAACCATTGCACCTGCCGATGTTGGAAAGCAGGTTGAGCCGAGGGGTCTCAAGTGACAGCCGACAAGGTGTCCCCTCGCCCCTCACAAAGCTAGCCAACAAACAATAAAAACATGTCAAGTGAACTCGGAGCTGAATGCATCTTGTGAGATCCGGCAAATGAAGTTCAGGTGCACGGCGGGCAGCTGCATCCCGGACAGATAGTCCGGCGAAGGTGAGAAGCACAGTTTGTAGCTGAGGGTGGCTGGGCAAGAGCGGCAAGAGCTTGGACAGGTTGTCGGGAAAAGGCGAAAGAGATCATCATCTACTTCGAGGACGGAAGTTTTAAGATTGTTAAGCATGGCTTCAAGTCTCGATTGATACCCCTACCCTCGGCCCTTGCCCTTAGAGCCTCGGTTGGCAGGATTATCAAGATTTCCAACATTCCGGCCTCGGTCTCCATGAAACATCTAACAGACGTCCGGTGACAGTTCAGTTGCTGTCAGTTGCTTTGCACCCTTGCGAGCTCCTCAATGCGAAGAGGGCCGAAGGATTGGTCGGTTGGTTGAGCCGCCCAGGAACTCTTCGAACAGGGTACTGGGAAGGCTTTGGTCTGACAGTGCTGGAAAAGCTGCCGGGCGCTCCATGTTTCGCCATGCTTCGGCTAGGTTGTTGCCAGTGTGGGCGAGTCTTGTCCTCAGACATCCTCAGACTGGGGGCCTGCGATTCCTGCTGTGGTGCATTAAATGTATTAATTCCATGGCCACGGAAGCAACACAACATAGCACAAGAAAGACTTGGGTTCGAGGTACAGATCGGCAGTTCTGCTGATAAGTTCATCGAATTGCACAAGATTGAAGGCAAAGTTTGATGCCCGTGTTAAGCCTTGTGACGCCTACTTGGGCAACAAGGTAGTTTTAGTCTTGCCTTTTTGTTTTCTGGGAGGCCGGGTTTTCCGGTTCTGGTGCTGCCGCACTTTCAGTTTCGGGTTCGGTTTCGAGTTCCGCTTCGGATTCCAGGTTCCGGTTTCTGAGTTTGTTTCGGTTGCCAGGTCGTCGTCAATGGGCCGGGTCGGGGAAGGATTGGGTGGTGGCGGGGCGTGAGTGTGCTGGCAAACCACAAGATTTAAACCTTCAGCTTCAGTGGTACACTACAAAGGGCAACGGCAAGCTGGACGGAAGCAAAATCGACACCGGAACCCAGAACGGAAGCCCGAAAGGAACCGAAACAACAAGTAGACAGCGGACCGGAAGCGAAAACACAAGGCAGTGGAGAAGCGGAAAGCAAAACGGCAACGTCAAGTTGAAAACACAGTGTGTTTCCCACTTCTTTTCCCGTTCTGAGGACAAGACCCTGGGGTCCAAATAGCCCAAAGCAAGCACCATGTATTTGGAAGGCCTTCATATACTGGGGTAGGATCAAAGCACCCTCGGTGCCACCGGACCTGTACATTCGCTTCACAGGTGTTTCATGCCCAGTGGCACCTGACGCATCCGGACGCCCTATGTCATGTAGGTTTATGGTTTAACACAACACGTACATCCCGAGCCTAATCCCGGACAGTTCGTCCTCGGGCTGTGACGTGCGGTCCGTCTGCCGCAAGGGGCAGACCATTTTTTTTGCATTGCAGCCACGTTTTCGGTGAAGTCTCAGCGTGTGCATCTCTACATCCCGCTGTTGTGTAACCACAGTTCTAGGACTGCGCACACGAGCTTGAAGCTGGTGTGTGATACATCGACTCGGGCAATGAACATCCATAAAAAAGCTGGCCCTGCGACCCTTTGCTGAAAAGGAGGGGTTAGGCTCCGAGGGGGCACTGTTCCCCTCTTCAAGCACTGCTAGAAAGAACACATGAGTGCAAATCGAGACATAAAAAATTTGCTTCATTGCTTGAAGGTCACCCTTTGTGAGACTGCGAATGATTGGCCCAGGAAGCGCTGCCATGTCCTTTGTCTCAGCGAAATCCGCTGCAGACAACACGGCACAGACTTCTGTCCATGCGTCCCGCATCTGCAGGTGGGGAAGGATGCGCCCGTCCTAGATTGGCTTTGCGAAAGCGAGCTGAATGGTCGACTTCATCTCTTCAATCGAGGTAATCTTGTCATGGGCATCTGCAAACTGGGGACAAGCAGCACGCCGGTCAGGACTGTCTAGCACCCATTTCGCCAAAGCTGTGCCTACAGTGAACCTTGCCGCTCCATCTGGATGAGTCCCTGCTGCGCCTTCTGCTTCCATGCATCCATGTGAGCCATCAAATGCTTCGCGAGCTCGCTGTTCTGATCGAGCAACCAAGTCAGAGCTGACCAAGCTTCCAGCTCTCGAAGGTTGTGATCGTGAAGGGCCAATATTTGACACATCTTCTGCATTTGCTTGCTGAGCTCTTGAACCTGCTGTTCGGTCGATCCCTTCGGGCGCCCGACATGCCCGACTTCTGGTCGACTGCGCTTCGAGGGCCGCGATGCGGCAGGGCTCGCGAAGAAAGTCCAAACCCGGCATGGCTGTGCGTTCCGAAGTACTTGCGAAGCTGAGTTTGGGTACTCCGAGTGCTCTGAGCAGCGGCTTGAGCCTTCGTCGTCACAGCAGCGCGAGCGGCGGCACGAGCTGCAGCTTCCGCAATCCTACTGCCTGCTACTGCACCTGCATGACCGTGATTCCGCACAGCTTTCCCACAAGATTGTTTTTTGACATGCCTCTGTGCTGCGCTCTTGGACGTGAACTCCCGATGACAGATAGGACAAGTGGTGGCTTGAACAGCATTACGATAGCCGTGTTTCTTAATCTTGTGACCTCGCAGGGCCCTTCTGTTGATCCATGGGCCAGCGCCGCAAATGTCACACATGCTCCTCTGGTGCAGGATGGTTTGCTTCGTCTGGGGCGACCGGTTCAGCAACAACGGCAGGTGCCACAGCTGGATTGGTATCCGAAGCAAAGCAAGTTCGCAATTGCTGAATTCTTTCAAGTGGCACACGCAGGAAATCTTGTTTCCATTGGTCTGTGAAGCCAGTAAAGGAAGGCACCACGCAAGACAGGTCCCTGAAGAGAATGCGCAAGAAACGTGGGGCTTTCTGCGTCGGCAAGCCCGAACGCAGGTCGACAGCGTCATCAAGCTTATCGCAAGCACCAAACAATGCAGCAAGCTCCAGTCTTGTTTGTCCGCGTGCCTCAGCAAGTAGTGAGGCTCGAAGCCACATTAGCCTGCGCACGGTCAACTCAGAAGCAACAGTGGCAAGCTGGACGCGCCGTCGAAGCGATTCAACCGTCGCTGACTCATGTCTGTCATCACCAGCGACAGCTCCGAACCCTTGTCTGCCGAACAGTCCACGTGCCCGCTCTAACGTGTGGCACTCACTGCAGCCAATTGGGCGAACCTCCAACGCGGCCAGCAGAGCTTCGTTGACCACAGCTTTGAAGATCAACACTTTGCGGGCAACAGGAACGGTTCTGCGCTTGAACAATTTCGAAAACCGGGCAAAACCGGACCTTGCAGCACCAAATCGTTTCTGTAGCTCAGCTTTCAAAGAGCCGTTTGCCTGCAACTGTGCTCCAAGGTACTTGACACAAAGCTTTACAGGGTAGCCATTCCATTCACCACTGAAAGCACTCTTTGCGGCGGTGTAGGCACCCTTGCCCTTGCAGGGCAGCAACGTCTCACCCTTCTTCGCATTCAACTTCAAGTTGCGCGGGTCAAGCTCGGCAGTCAAGGCATGCGTGCAGGCTAATGTACGATCTTCAAGTTGCTTCAAGGTGCTGCCACACTGGATGCGAACAAGGTCATCGGCATAGGCGGCAGCACTGAGCGAAAGATCTTGGCCGTTGTAACTAACAGTCAGATCGTTGTCACGAGTGGCATCTCGCCAACGTGTGATGCAAGCATCATAGACCATGCGAAAGATACGTGGGCCGGTTCCGCCGCCTTGCAACGCACCAGAGTCGAGTTTCACTTGCAAGGTCCCACCATCAGTTTGCTTCAGACTGATTCGCAATCGCCGATGCAGATCAAGAAGTAGCTCGCGAACTGACACAAGCATCGGCTCATTATGGAGAAGATCTTCAATGCAGCTGAGAGCCAGTGTATCGAAAGCTTTGGTGAGGTCAAAGAGTGTAGCAGCAGAACTCAAACCATTCGCCTTGAGGCGATCGAGCCAAGCTTCAACATGCAAGATAGCATCACGACGGGAGCGGCTGGATGCATAGCCATACTGGTGATCAGCAGCCTGATCAGGCACAAATTGCAGCAACGCTTTGTAAAACAACTTGCTTGCAGGATCAAGCAGATTGATGATGCGCTGCCCATTTGGACCACACACACCACCAGGCTTGGGTAGCGGACAGCCCTCTCCATCGCACCAACTTTGAGGATTGCAACCAACACGCTGCATGCTTTCAAAGGCCCCCATGCAAATCTCTGGAATAGAGGACACACTGACAGGACACAAGGGTCGTGCCTGTAAATGGAGCTGCCAAAGCTCAGCTGGGAGACTGCCTTGAGGCGTGGCGCCTCCTCTGGCCTGGGATTTCGCCGCCTTAAGCAATGCCTCACGACCCCGCTCACCGGCAATTGCAGGCTGCATTGTTCGGAACAGCTGTGATCCGGGCGCACAACAGCATCAGTGTTTTCACTGCCGTTCCAAACATCACGCATATGTTGCTTCCATTGGCTTCTGGTGATCAAGCGTGCGGCTGGGACAACACGGTCATACACTTTTACAAGGCCCATGTTCAGCCAGCTGCCGACTGACAGCCCACGCCTCACGTGAGTCATGCAGTTCAACAGCCCGCTGTAGCTTTGAATCAAGGTTGCATAACCATGCTTTCTCATCGAGGGGCAGACCCAAAGAAAAAAAAATTGCCGTTCAATGAAACCCATAAACCTTTAGTGGAAGAGCATGGTATTGAAAGGAAACTCGGAGAAACCTGTGTGCTTGCCAGCGGCCAGAGCAGTGGAGAACCACTCCAGGCTCGAACTCGTGAGACAACCAGACTAGTGACTAGGATCGGGAGCATAGGTCCAGGCAGGGCTCTTTCCGAAAAATCGCGCAACATTCAACATCGGTATGTTGCGTGTGGGATAGGAGTTTTTGGCAGCCGGTGGGGGCAAGGTCGGAACGGTTGACGGTGTCACGCTAGTCGCCAGTCGAAGACCATTCACATGGCAGCATGCCACAGGATCCATTATTGCCAAAATCTGACGAGGTGGGTGACAAAACATCTCAACATCCGCAACCGGCCAACCTCTAGATTGGGGTGTGTAGGCACACCCCGAAAGCGGGTGTCACTGGACTTTTGGGCTGCCGGGAGGCGGATACTCAGTCTCGGATTCAGGTTGCTTGTGTGTTTAATTGTTTGGGATAGCCCATGCGAGCCAAGAAGTTCGACTGGTTAGAAGCAGTACCAGTACGTGAGTCATTTTAACGACCGGCGCTGTCACACAGCCCACTGTGTTTGGCTGATTGCCGAAAGAGAAGGATTCGGTGGAGGAGGGGAAGGCAGGGGGAATCTGTGGGAGTGGGGGAGCCGGGGCGGGGGGTCGAAATTGTGGGCCAAAGACGGGTGTCACCAAACTTTGGGGCTGCAGGGAGGAGGATTAGGTAGAGGGTATTTAGTTAAACCCCCAAGACGCCGGAGGCCTGTAAGGGTTTTCTGGCGTTATGAACGGTGGTTTTCACCATACATGCCCCACATGCTGCATTCTTTATGCAAATGACATCATTGTTTGCATGCTGAGGCGAGGGTGCGCTTGGCTAACATTCGATCACACTGAAGAAGCTGCGAAGGCCCACTCGTTTGGTTCATTGTCGGCCCGGCGATCGCTAGCATACTTACCGCTAGGATCTGCGATGTACATCCAGCACAGTTCGGTGTCAGTTCAAGACTGGGTTAGCGTTGCCAGTTGCTTGGTGGACCCGGCGCACATTATGCAACCAGTTTAGAGACTTCGTTTCGCTCAATGGGAGGTCTCTCTGCCAGCGCTGTATCACACTCATTGCCTTTTTCCGAATCACGGGCCTGTCGGCCTGTCTGGTGAATCGCAGCTCAAAAGCTGCAAGATCCATGCGGTCCATGCGGCATGCAGCGATATGCAGCGGCATGCTTTTGGCACCCCAGGTCCAGCTTGGCGAGCGCTTGTCATCGCTTGTCATCAACAGCTTCGGATCTGGTATGATTGGTGATCTGGTGTCAACTCCTGCTCGTCTTTGGACGCAAACTCGCCTGAGACAGTGGGGGAGATCATCATTGACCGACAAAAAAGAATTTCAGCATGTAGTCAGCCAGTTCGAGCATGGTCAGATGGCCCCTTGGATGGGACACACGACGCCGCCTTCCAAGCGGTTTCGGGACGGTGTCCCCTCGGTGTGCCGTTCAGTGTGATACCGAGTTTTCGCTCTGCATGTCGAAAGTATAGCGGCCGCAGTGCAGCGCAGCCGCCGGCCAGAGTGCTTATACCAGCAGGTAATTTCAGCGTCGTGGAAGTAATAGAGCTGGGCCCCCGCAGAGTCGCACAGGTTGACATCTGGCCACTGCAGTCTTCCAAGGACATGACCGAGAGAGATCTGCTTCGTGAGGATGCAAGAAGGGTATTCGGCGTTCCTGCCATATCATGCCACCAAACTCACCTCAGCCTGAGCAAACCCTGCAGGCCAAAAAGAGTGAACATGACATCATAACAACACAGTTGTAGTTGATTCCAGCTGCGAGACATGTTATCAATGTGATACGCATGTTCGGTGGACAGGCCGTTGAGCTTTTCAGCGAAGGGACACTGGATGGAAACATTATCAAGGCGCGCATTGCAGCGAGTGGCATGTTTGGCTACTTGCGCGGCATACAATGCTTTTGCTGCCGTAGAGTCTGTGGCCCTTTCGCAGGTCGAGATACAGCCCTGATGCGCCTGGACACTCACGCTCAGCCCGCTTTAAAACGGACATACGCCTTGTGCAGTCTTCTTCAACTGTTTGCTCATTTTGGCTGGGAGGTGGGCGGGAGGGAGGGGGGAGGGCAATCTGGACCAGCGCCATGGAAGCAGTTCGGCTTCTTGCCTACTGGAGCCTTGAGGTCTTCTATCGGATTTTGGTGTCGCCATGTTGGTATTCGGCTATGCACGGTGGAGCGGTGTGCTTGCAACTGCATTTAGCAGATTTAGCTGAGGCTTCGCGAGCAACAGCAAAAGCCTCAGGCAGTCAGCAAGCGTTCCTTCCCAATTCACAGGATAGCAGGTTCATTCAGCTGCCACGCAAAGCTAGACTGGCCTCGGCTAGATGCTACACCAGCTTGCCAGCATGCAAGACGTGCTGCAATTTCAGCTATAGCCGGGTCATTAAGGATCGCCATTTCTCGTTGCTTCTTCTGAGAAGAGGTGGACAGGGTATCCCGGCAGTACAGTCGGCTTCAAAAAGACAAATTCGGGCCGAGAGTGCGACCACTAGTAAGGACCTTTGTGTTGGAAAGCAAGCCGTTGTTCTAGAGCGAGGCCACACAGTTTTGCTGGATGTTCGGATCTGCATGCAGGCATGGTGGGGCATTGGTTGGCTTGGTGAGGTCTAGGTTCTCGGATTCCACTGGGATTGTCACTAGTGCGTTTCAGAAGTTTGGCTTGTTTCTCGATTCTCTTGGAGCAGACGAGAAGCTCCATACCTGAAAGGCCCCCCAGGGCCCCAGGACTTGCAACAGCGAATTTCAGTTGGAACGGATGCTGGGCGGTGGGAAAATACGTTCTCTGCGCCATGTTTGATGGCCGCAGTTTTTCGTCAAGCATGGCGTACCCGATGGACACCTCAGTTGCCGATGCCTTGGAGCAGTTGGCTTCAGTCAAGGCCCAGCAGTTGGCTTCGGTGAACGGCATTGCAGCTTTGGAAGCACAACACCGACACTGGCAAAGCCATGTTACAGAACTCCTTGGACGGATTGACCGTCGACTCCGCGAGGTACCAGAAAGTGCTAGGCCTTCGCCGGAGGTATTGTTTACATTTGCAGAACAGCATGACACCACCACGGAGACCGAGACCGTCAAGATCCAGTCGAAAGGGAATGCTAGCATGCCTATGCAGGTCTCTGCTCCCCTCGTTCGTTCATGTGGCGACAGTGGAAATTTGGACGAGAACGAAGAAGTCGAAACAAGTGATACGGATGCAAGCCTGCAGAATGCTCACGACAAGCCTAACGAGCACGTCCAGGAGGTTGCTGCACCCGACCAGAGACGGTTCGGCACGATAGCGAGCCGTCCATCATCGCGCAATACCTTGGAAGAGATATTCCGGACAAGAAAAACCGTTGTCCCGAAAGATGGCCAGCCGACCCTGAATAGCATTGTCTTGGAGGAAATGGCCTCAAACGCCAAGAGCGAGGCTCCACCGGAAGGCGACATGTGGGCAGAATTCCGAAGAAAAGCTGCCAAGATTGCCAACTCCAGTTGGTTCGAGTTTCTCGGAGCAAAAGCTATGATGCAGCTGTGTTTCTTGTACAGTGAATTGCAGCCGATGAGTGTGAGAGAGGGTGACGAAGTCGCAAATTCGACAAAACAGCCCAGCATACTGCAGTGTAGGCCCGCCCTTAAAAGCTGAACATCCGGGCCCGGAGATGGCATCAACATGGGACTAGATGACGAGGACTCGACGCAGCCGAGGTATGCGTCGGGTTTTGTTATCATGCTGAACCTTGCGACCATTGGTGTAGAGGCCGAGCTGTCCTTGGAAAGAGGCGCTGGGAGGGCTTGGACGATGGGTTTCAGGAACTTGCAGCCTGCAAAAGAAAACAGGTTCAACTAGGCCCAAAAGAAGCGGCCAGATTGGACGAAGTTTCGCCTGGAAGTTTTTCGGGCGGGCGGGCCGTAGATTACCCATCGCGTTTGACAGGGATCCCGTAGTACACGAGAGCGACAGAGAGCGAGGTTCTTTTCAGATGTATGGCCTTGATCCAGGCGAGGAGTTCGGTGCAGAGTCATGGCCATATCTTGTGGAACGCCTGTTCTTGGCTGTTTACTTCGTCGAGGCGGTCGCGCGTGGATTGGCAAGTGGTTCTTGAGTTGCACATCAGCACGACTTTCCTGCGGATCGTTTTCCGTCGGAAGACTGCGCTGGTAGCAGCTTAGGTTGGTCCGCTTGCAGAGATGGCTGGTTCTTAATGGATGCGCCCAGCCTTGCATTGTGTGTCTATTTTTTTGCTTCTGTTGTTTCGACTGGTGCCTGCTCTGGCACAGATGGGCCGCCGGAGTCGAAGCAGCGTTGTGAAATTATATCGGTATGGAAAGCACAGAAATTAAGACAGGACTGGTCACAAGGGTCATAGCAATTAGTGTGGTCGTGGGAATGCTGCTCTTGATGTGGCACGGAGGGTATTACTACTGCTAGTGCTACTTCCTTCCTTCCTTCCATTCCCGGCGAACGTCCGGGGCTAGCGAGGGATAGGAATCAACAAAATCATTAAAAGTTCATCAAAAAATTAAAGCGACTAGAGCGGTAGAAACCCACAATTTGGAAGGAAGCCGTTGGCTTCTTGGCATTTCGCCCTCTCGGCTTCGGCCCCTCTCTCTCTCTCTCTCTCTCTCTCTCTCTCTCCCTCTCTATGTGTGTCCCAAGACGTAGCCTCCTCGCTCTAGGGTTTAACTTGCCTACCCAGTCTGAACTCTATCAAGCTCTGCATGGCTCCATCCCTGGTGACCCCCCTCGGCTTAAGCAGTTAACAATGTATGAGTTCTTGACCCAGAAGGCCCCAAGAATGGACCGGCATGATGTAATTGAGGTTCTTGATGACAGGGAGTCGAGGGAAGGTGATTCCATTGAGGTTGTAGATTAGCTCTCTAGTGTGCAACACACTAAAGAGCAAAGGAGGGTCCGCACCTTGGATGCATCCAGGGTGTCATGACACCACGCGCGCCCTGACTGCACCTCAAACCCCCCCCCCCCTCAAAAAAAAAAAACC